AGTTACTTTTTACGAAAATTTTAATAATTGTACTTTTTTATTGAATCAAGTAGAATACGTTTTAATATTAATCCTTTTATTTTTTTTTTATTTGGGCTTACCAATTTTTAAAATGTTTCCTCAAAATTATTCTTAAATACTTTAAATACGTCTAACAGTTAATAAATATTTTTAAATCTATGGAATAATTTTAAAACCTAACAAACGTAAAATAATTATTTAAGTTAAAAATCTAAAACTAAAAGAAAGTATTTTTGTTAATTTCTATTTTGCTAATTGAATTTCTACAGTAACTCAATGATTTAATTATTTTATTTGTTCATCTTACAAAGAAAAATTGTTTCAAATGTGTTAAACTTTTCAAACTACGCGAAGCATAAAACATTTATTGAAAAAACTTTTTTATTTATAAATAAATCATCTAGCGTTAGTTTTATTGGTTGAATCTTGTTGGACTTTTCAGGACCGGGGACTGCATTATTTTTCCAGCTTTTTTTATTTGCCACAGCGTAAAAATGACTAAAAGAAATACCTCTTGACTATTTCGTGGCCCCTAGCATTGTGAGTCCCTAGGCTATAGCCCTTTTACTCCCCCCCCTACCTCCTCAATCCAGCACTGGAAATAAGGCGTAAGTATATAAATAAAAATTATATATACTCTTTGATAAATCGAAGAACATTTGTTTCCTTATTAAACAATCATTAATAGTAAATTGTTACTTTATATAAAAAATGTCACTTAATTTTATAAAAAAAATTATAAAAGAGCGATGTTTCAAAAATATTTGCTCTAATCGTATTTATTTTGCTTAACCTTAACTGTGGCGTAAATTTAAACATTGCGTTGTTATTTACGGCAAAATGTTTTTGTTAATGATTGCTTCAAGTTGTTTAATTATTTCTAGTTTGTTATGCTGAAAATTGTAAAAAAAAATTTGAAAAAAAAAAAAAAAGTTTCTAAAGTAACATTTAACATATCTTGATAACAGTATTATAAGGAACAAAATTTTTCAGGCAATGTAAAAATAAAAAAAGCATTTTATAGTCTTATAAAATAAAATACTAAAGCTAAATTTACATTCACATAATTTTTCTTTTCTTTCAATTACATTAAACAACACATAAACACACCAACACTACATAAATTTCAGCCTATAGACATATTTTATCTATCTTGTCTTTTACTTGGTTTTACACTTTTCTCTGGAAATATTTCATATATTTAAAACATTTTGTTATTTGTTAAGTAGAAGGTAATACATTACTTTAAATGATTTCAAAATTTGCATCACATCAAGGTACCCTGTGATGCAAATTTTGAAATCATTTAATTTTGTCCGCGGAAAATAATTTAATTTGAATGTTCAGATTAAGTCAAATTTTGACTTCATAGTGCGGCAAAAAAACACTTGTAGAATTTGAACCATTCAATATAATTTGATAAAAATTGGTGCAAATGTAGCCAATAGTCACACCAAACTCTGGACGAAATTTCAGCCTGATTGGATGACTGGTGTAGCACTTATTGCATTTTTAGTTGAAGTTTTGTCAGTTTTTTGCTACTTATACCTTAAAGCGTTACCGATTACTTTGAAATTCATTGCTTCCTGCATTCATTTCCCTTAGACTGGCCCCTTGTGACACGGGCTCAGTTAAATGTGGATGGCGGCTGGCCACTTAACAGCTTCTATCCAAGCAGTTTTAAGGATTTTGAAAAGACGATTGACAACTCCTTAGAGAAGATGCAATTCCATCGGTGGAATGATTTCCAAAATCAGAACATTGACAGGCCCACAAATGATAGGCTTTCGAATGACATTGCCAAACAGCTTTGCATTAGCAACAACCCTGCCAAATTGTTTAAAAGACTCGAGGCTTGAATTAATTGAACCCAGTGTTCACAAGTTTTCAGATTTGGTAAGACAATTGGATTTGACGTCACACCAGGTGCAAGGGTGCATACTTGAATGAGTTTGAAGACCACAAATTATATTTGCAACTTTCATATCAAAAGCCAAAATTAGTTTAACTCCATTTGCATTAATCAATGACCTTATTTTTTCAATATTGAAGTGTGTTTCTGGCAAATCTTCTGAAACCTCAAAAATAATTTGTCTCTTGACTCCAGTGTCTTTACTAGTCCTTTGAGAGGTTGTTGTTAGTGTGGTGAGCTGGTTTCATCGCTTAATGCAGTATCAACAATGCTTAGGCAAAACTTGAGAAAACCTTTGCCACCATCAATTCCGAGCTTAACAAAATAGCCACCAGAAATTTTTCGGGACTAAATAACATGATTCACAAGACTTGATAAATCATTGCAGTGAGCAACAACATGAACTCTACAAAAATCTGTTTTTTCGTTTGTGATTTTTAAGTCGCTGCAGGTGAAGAAATTGCTCAATTGTTCACCTAGTCTTAGAAATTTCATGTAGAAATTTCGCTCTACCATCTTGCTGCTTGATGTTTTGTTTACAGTTCTAACAAGTTTCTTTAATCCGTTATTTGACAGGCCCGTATTTAATTGCACATTTAAAAGGGCTACAGTGGTCAATTTGGGAGCACTTGATGGTGTCTGCTTTGACCTAAAACCAAAACATACATATTTTATAGTTACAATAAACTTTGTTTAGTAAGTTTGTGTAAAACTTTCAAATTATTTGTTTTTAAAGAAATTAGAAACTTGTCAAAAATATACTTCTTGAAATCTATCTAGTGTTATTTCTTAATAGTCAAGACTTTATTTCAATATATATCTAAAATTATTTAAGTATAAATATTTACCAGGGGTAACTGTAAGTGGAGGCCTGCCGGATGTTTTAGCCAGTAGAATAGTTCCTTCCGAAGATAATTCTTTATTGGAAATAACTCGAGAGACAATTTGTTGAGATGATGTTGAGATGATTTCAGGTCTCACTTGTATTGACTTAAAACCAAACAAAGGAGGGAGTGCAACTTCTTTCCCTTTTTGTTTCCTGCACAAAGTAAATCTACAAGATTCGCAGAATCCTTTTGATACCCGAGTATCACTGATATTGATCTTGGTCTTGTACAGTTGGTATATTCGATCTACTTGAAAAGTAGTAAGCTGTCTTAAAAATTTTTTCAGACAGAGCAAGCACACAAACTTTTGATTTTCATTATGATTCTTTGCTTGATTTGGCATCGTGGCAATTCACTAAATTTTACTTCACTAAATCCAACTCTGCCTTTTACAAAGTTTGACCTAAATTTATATTTGATAACAATCTACTTAACATAGTAACACATATTGTTAATTAAAAGCTATTAAAATAATAGGAAATATTTACTTGATTTAATTGAGGTAATATTAAATTACAAGGAAATAATTCTTGAATAGTTCTTTCCTTACCAGGAAACAATTGTTTAAACTTTTTACTTGCAAGGAAATTACTTAATTTATAATTGTCACACTTATTGAACTAATGATACTTGTCACATGGGTTGCTTTATTTCAAAACAACCCTTCAACCTAATTAGTTATTCAATTAGAGTATTTTTCCTCCGAATGGTCCTCCAAACTTTGTATTGGTCAGATGTCTTAGTTAACTTATCTTAATTTTTTAAGTCAATTATCTTTGTCAATATAAAAAATATTTGGTTTTTTCACAGTTGTTCTGTTTTCAGATAAATATTTTTATTTTCTATGTAGGTATCCCTAGAAATCCTTTTTAAGCATTTTTTTATAATTTTTTTGCATTCTGGCAGTAGTTTATACCTTAGGAAATGTTGGTATATTCACGCTATGCTAACTCACTCCTACCCATACTCCCCAAATTAAAAACATCCAAAACACAAATATTCAAAAACACACATATTGCTATATATATTTTATATATAAACACACATATATTACTATATAACCTTTTCTATTGTATGGGAGTTGAAGACATCAATATATGTATATATTCAGACCTTGTTTTAAATAAAAAACGACTAAGCTCATTAGCTCTTTTTGATTTTGATGTCATAAAATTTTGATGTCATAAAATCTTTGTTTATTATTTAAGGACATTACTTTTTTTAAACTACCACAATAAAATAAATCACCCCAAAACAAGTTTATTTTACTAATTAAGAAAAACAAATCTAGAAGTGTTATTTTGTAAATGTATAATTTTGTAAATGTATAATTTTGTAAATGTATTGTAGAATGTCTATTTTTTTCAATTTTTTTTTTGATAATTAAATACTAGTTTTTTCCAGTTGACGGTAAAATGAATAAGTCAAAATTACAAATATTTAATCATTTGAAGCACTCTCAATATAAGTTTTTATCGTCTCAACCACTAGAATTTATACCAGTGCCACTAGCACCAGTAACTACGCTATCGCAGCCACTGCCTTCAGAATCTACATTAACATCATTATGCACCAGTGTACGCCATATAGTATTAAATTCAACTAAAAAAAAAAAAAAATTAATCTTTTTTTTTGTAAAAAAAATATAGTGAAAACTCTTAACTATTTAACTTGATCCCATTTTACATTTTTTATATGAAACAACATATGTTTTATGTTTGCTTTATTGAAATAAAAAACATTAAGAAAAGCATAAATTTAAATTAAATTTAAATAAAGATAAAATTAGGTAAATGATTGTTGACATAATTTGATCACAAACTTTTTGTTTTAAAAAGATTTAAATGCTCTTAATATTTTTTTTTTTTTTAGTTTCATTTGTTTAACTTGACTGCATATGACTTATATGATTAATATGAGCATTGTAATAATATGAGCATTGTAATAATATGAGCAAATTGACTAATATGATGATTGATATGGTCATAATTTAATTTATTAATTTAAACATTTTTTCAACTACAAAATTGCAACAGAAAACTTTTTTACTGTGACTTTTTAAAGTAAATAAAAATGTATTTTTATTGAATTGTTTTCATCGTTTGGTAGTACTTAGTTTCATTAGTTATTTACTACTTTTTTTATTATTTTTGTTTTCATCTTTTTTTATTTAATTTTAGTTTTTCATTCTGATGTTGCTCATCTTTATTGCAGAGATTGTTGCAGCAGCCTTTGCATACGCAAAGAGAAATGATGTAAGTTTTTTTTTTGTTTGTTTTATAAAGCTACTCTAATTTTTGTTTCAAATCACAAAAAGAAAAACACTTATAATTATTATAACATTTAATTTTATATATATATATATATCTGCAACTCATTGCTGATGTTATTGTTTATAGTTTTTTTCTTTGATTGAATACAAGAACACAGAAAATTGTTGAGCATGTCTTCAACACTGAAATGTTGATGAATAACTGAACTGAAATTGTCATAAAAAACTAAAAATAGCTCCTCTGTGTTTTCGACTTTGCTAGCTTTCATATACATTGAAAGGCTCAAGAATATTTAAAACATTTTTTGAAAAACAAAAGTTCCTCTTCTTGAAATATTTTGCTAATTTTGTTATTTTGATTTGGCTTGTAGTGGGAAATTGTTTTGACTTGGTTTGTTTTGTTAAGTCAAGTATAACCTGTCAATTTTTTTTAGAATTTCCTCAATTAAAAAATTTAAATTCTAGTTGTTACCTGTGCACACACTGCATTTTGCATAACTTAATGTTCTAGATGTTTACAGACATATGTACACACGTGGTTAAGAAACACTAGTTAAATGTTGGGTTAAATATTGTTAGTGACATTCGACTAAAAAAAAACTTATATAACTAGACAAGCAGTATTCTGATCTGGAAAAAAAAAAAAAGAGGCTCTGCTTTGACTTGGCAGAAAAATTTTAAGGATTGCTTAAAAATTTTATTTTGGTTAGTAAGCCAAATTTAAAGAACATTATTAGAACCAACTAAATACAATCCAGCAAGGATGATGATGAAGGTTTAATATTTTTAGAAGGTCAAGTAGAAGAAAGAAAATTTATTCTTTGGCAGTGAATAAGAAGTTCAGTAGAAAGATAAAACTTTACAATTAAAAATGCAATTAAAGATGATGTTTTTATATTATCGCATTTCAGTTAAAATTAAATTTCTTATATGCTTGTAACCAGCAGAGAATAACATAGAATAACTGCAAGTAATGCTGAGACCAGAAAAGGTTCACTCATAAAGATTTCCAACAATATAAATATTTTCTAAAATTAGCATGCAAGCATCATATATCAGAGATAAAGTAATGCATTTTTGGAGGCATAAAACAAATGAGAAGAATACAGAAGCAGAATACCCACAAATTTAAAAATTTAAGAGCATATTTGTACAACCTGTAAAACTTAGTTAGATTGCAATCACTGATTTTATATTCCTTCCTATAATAAAATATAATAATGTTTTGAAAAAAAAAATTATTTTATGTTTAAACTTTTTTATCATAGAAATATATAGAAATTTTACTGTCAAAACCTCCCTCTTCTTTTAATCAGTGTCGTAGCATAGGAGGCAGAGTAATCCCTCAAACTTGTCATTACGACCCCAAAATTTTAAAAACCGATTATTAGATATTACTACAAAAAAAAAAAAAAGATCCTTAAATTTAGTAAAGAACTCTCTAAAATTTGAAAAAGTTGAATTTTAAACCACAACTTTCTTTTTTAATGTCATATCCTTTTTATTCATAATAAATTACATAAATAAATAGTTATATAAACAATCTATAAGACAAGATATAAACAATCTATAAGACATTACTTATAATTACAAACTAGTTAAGATAAATATATATCTATTTTAACACAATATATAATTTACATATTTTAGTTTATAAACATAATTATAAATATAACAAAAAAATAATCAAAATAAATCCTAAAATTTAATTGAGTCTAGAAAAATTAAAAAACTTCAGAAACGTTAAAAACTTTTAATTAGAAGTTTTTAACTAAAATCCACAATTTGTAAAACTGTTACGAATGGTCGAAAAAAACGCGCAAAAATGGTTTTCAAGAAAAACAAAATTTGAAGACCTGATACTTTTACGAAATTTCCAATTCACGATCATTTAATTTGCCCCCTGTGTCCTATCTGAAACATAAAAAAAAAAATGCTGGTTTCTATGTCAGATGCATCAATACAGAATTATTTGAAAAAAAAATGTTGTGGTTGTTTCACTTTACAAGAACTATTGGTACTCAAACTCAATTATAGTTTCACTGGCTCTATTGCATGAAGATTTGACTTTAAGATTTGATAATAAAAACTATATATATATATATATAAATATATATATATATATATATATTTTATATATATATATAGGAATTAGGAAAAATGAGGTCGGCAATAATTTGCCGACCTCAATCTTTTTGAGGTCAGCATATATATATATATATATATATATATATATATATATATATATAATATATATATATATATATATATATATATATATATATATATATATATATATATATATATATATATATGTATATATATATATATATATATATATTTATATATATATATATATATATATATATATATATATATTATATGTATATATATTATATGTATATATATATATATATATATATATATTATATATATATATATTATATATATATATATATTATATATATATATATTATATATATATATATATTATATATATATATATAAATATATATATTATATATATATGTATATATATATTAGGGTGGTGCTTAAAACAACTTTTTTGAGAAAAACCTGCTCGTACCCCCTAAATGTATTTTATCTAATACAAAAACACTAGGTTTAAAATTTTTTTGAACAAAAAATATTTTTAGGGGTAGCTCAAGGCCCTCAAAAATTTGACGGGTCTCTAATATTTTGAAAAAAAAACTTTTTCTAAAGTATGTCAACCTGGTACTCAAAATAAGCAAAATTATAAAAAAAATTTAAAAATGGAAATAATTTTTTATAAAAATAATTTTTTCAGGTATAAATGCATTAAAACTATTGTTTTTAAGCTGAAAATGAAAAAAGTCAATATTTTCAGGTTTTTTGAGAATAATTTTTTTAAGCATGTTTTTTATGTAAAATGATTATTATTTTGAAGTTTTTATATAATATCGCTTCTTTTGAGTACCAGGTTGACATACTTTAGAAAAAGTTTTTTTTTCAAAATATTAGGGACCCGTCAAATTTTTGAGGGCCTTGAGCTACCCCTAAAAATATTTTTTGTTCAAAAAAATTTTAAACCTAGTGTTTTTGTATTAGATAAAACACATTTAGGGGGTACGAGCAGGTTTTTCTCAAAAAAGTTGTTTTAAGCACCACCCTAATATATATATATATATATATATATATATATATATATATATATATATATATATATATATATATATATATATATATATATATATATATATTATATATATATATTATATATATATATATATATATATATATATTATATATATATATATATATATATATATATATATATATATATATATATTATATATATATATAAATATATATAATATATATATATATAAATATATATATTATATATATATGTATATTATATATATGTAGAGTTCTATGGTCAGCTACGCAACTAGCGCAACATGTTTTTAAAAATTTAACTGACTCATTATATTATAATTTTAAATTTTTTTTTACGTTTACACTCAAATTATTCTTTTTTATTATTATTCAAAAAAAAAAAAGAATAAGAAGAAAATTGAGTAAAGTTGAACTAAAAGACAGCGGTCAGCTATGCAACGCGCAAAAAAGCTTGTTTTTTTTTATTTAAAGTTTGAATTATTTTTCCTCCGAATCTATTATTTATTATTTTATAAAAACTTCTTTTTCTTCAAAAATAATTATTTCATTGAAGTTATATTTATAAAAAATTTTAAATATAATAATAATAACACGTCAAAAAAAAAGTTTTCAAAAAACCATGTGGTCAGCTACTCAACAATCAGCTACGCAACATGCAAATTTTTATTATAATTCAAATTAAAATCCAAAACAAATCTAAAACTATATTTACAGCTTGTATTTAGAAACAATAAAGTTTATTTATAAAGTTTATAAAGATGATTTTACATTAAAAGATACCTGGACCCCGGGGTGGAGCCTCAGTAATCTTAATTTTTAAAATGTTGGAGCTAGGGGGTAGGGAATATGATTTCCTTTTAAATGTACTCTTGATATTTTTATCTGTTCACAACCTTATTATATAAATGTTTTTAACTCAAGGATGTTTATAAATACATTCATTTTACTTGCATTTACTTTGGAACTTTGATCTTCTGAGCTTTAAGAGCATTAATTATTTGGACAATAATTGAACAACTAAAATAATTTAAAAAGCAACAACTAGAAGTTCTTTAAATGTGTAAGCTGTTATTTTTGATCGAACTGTAGTTTAGGATAAAATGAATAAACCTTCCGAGCTAAGTTGCGCAAAAAAGGTCACGAAACATAACCCTAGAAAACTTAAAAGCATTGAAAAAAATAAGTAAGACTTTCTATATAATAACAGTTGCAGGTAAAAAAAGGTTTTAAGAAACCATGCGGTCAGCTACGCAACAATCAGCTATGCAACATGCGAATTTTTGTTATAATTAAAAATAAAATACAAAACAAATCTAATACTATGTTTATAGCTTTTATTTAGAAATGATAAAATTTGTTTGCACAGCTTATTTTTAAGTTACCTGGTCACTGCCAAATGTCTAGACGTTTCTATTCCTTTAATATTATGCAATATTCGGCAAAAGCTGCTCACCTACAATGTTTCCGTCTAAAACCTGAAAGTAATGGCATTTAATTTTTTAATTTTTAATTTTTTAATTCTTTAATTTTTTTTTGTTTTCTTAAAAAAGGTTCTCAAACCAAGAGAGTTGTTAATCTCTAGCTTTTCTTTATCAGTCAGTGTTACAACAGTAATTTTTAAATTGTTTGTAGCGGTTGCCAAATCGCTAGCGCTAGAAATTATATATTTTTTAGTTAAAAGATTTTTTCTGGCAACACGTTTTACAGTGGCTCCAATTCCATCCACAATTCCTTTTCCATGCATTGCAGCAAAAAAATGCCAGTGCATTTTAATTAATTGCTTTTTTTCTAAAACTTTCATTGATGCTAAAATGTACTTAT